TCATCAATATTATTGTGATTCATATCATCATTAGAATTGATTTTTTTAAAATATTTTATCATATATCATATTTGATTTACATATAAATTTTATTTTTTTATTGCCATAATCATATGGTGTATCAATTCTCAATATACCAAATTCACTATCGAACAGCATATCTGTTATTCGGTCTTCAAATTTTTTTCTTAAATCAAAATATAACATAAATAATGTTCAATTGTCACTAACACGACGAAGATAGTCAAATGGAATTCCCATGTATTGTATTTTAAACTTGATAAATTTAGATAATTTATGAATAAATTTCATAAAATGTGTTTCTCTTATTTTATCTTTATAGAATAAAACATATTGATCTTCTTCATTTTTATTGATATAATATTCGCATAATGTGTTATTAATGTTACAAAGAAATTTTTCATTCATTGATAAAATTCTCATTTCAACAAAAGCATGTATTGCTGGATATCCATGATCATCATTGTTCGCATTAATTACATTAATATATTTAATTAATGAATACGGATCTTCTATTGTCATGTTAGATGTGACTATACTTTCGGGTTACCGGAAGTTCGCCAATAAGACTTTCGCAATTTGGACTTTCGCCATTGGCGAAAGTCCACTGTGCTTTCGCCAATGTGCCTTCCTGACATTCGCCAATTGGCGAGTGTCCATTGATCTTTCGCCAGTTTACTGTCCTCACATTAGCCAATTGGCGAATTTCCACTGGACTTCCACCGGTAAATCCTTCAGATATTGGGAAATTGAAAAATGATAGTGGCATTGATCGGAGAGATCAGCAACAAATACATGCTAAGAAAATTGTTGGAAATGACATGATCAAAATTTTTATTTGTAGTTTTAGATTTATTCGAAATAAGTCTAATATCATTTGTGTGTTAACAAGTATGAAGTATAACACATTGAACATCTGTTCATATCAATACATAGGTAAAAAGTTTAGTATATATGATATGATTTCGAGTTTTTCAGATAGCTATTGTTAATCATATGC